GTGTCTATGTTTTTCAAGATGCCGGGATACAATATTTTCACGTTACAGAATGATATCGATATGGACAACATGGTTTGTCTTGCACGGTCTTTCCGATTAGACCACATTGATGTCATCATTCAATCTCGAATAACGCAAGGTCCAGTTGACATTGGTGACGTAACTCGAAGCCCACAGGCCGATACGTGTAACTTGCTTGTGCTTGCAGATGAGTCAGACATTGATGATAACCAACAAGATTTGCTTCCCAAATTTTGTCCCCATGCCGATAAGGTTTTCTTGTATGACCAATGGGCTCATGGTATCACATACGTCGGACAAAGTTTTGAGGGGGGGAGCCAATGAATTTTGCTGTGTCTTTCACAAATATGCGGTTGAGTGTGGATTTCGATTCAAATTTCTGAAGAATGACTCCGTTCGGATTACAGCAGTATGCATGATAAGGGAATCGAAAGGATGTATGTGATCGATACATGTATGAGTCTTACATGCTGATGAGTTTTTCTACATTCACAAGTAGAATAAGGAGCACAGTTGCGGTGTTGCCGTCCGGACAGCAAAAAACCCAAGGGCTGGGTCTAAATTAATGTCTGATGTTATATCCAAATGGGTACATGACAGACCGCTTACACGTCCGACCGATGTGGTGTACGACAGAAAGAAAGATAATGGATTGGAAATTAGCTACCGGGTTGCATGGTTGGACGTTGAGAAAGCGTGTGGTGAAATGTTTGGTGCACATTTCATTTCGTTTGATCAGTTGAGGTGGTATAGTAATGTCGTTATGGACAACAATCCGGGTAGCTACATAAACATTGATTACGATGAACAAAATCACCGGTTTAAATGGTTTTTCATATCATTCAAAGCATGTATTGATGGGTTCAACCATTGTCGTCCTTTATTATTTTTGGATGGTACTTTTTTGAAGGGTAAATTTAAGGGCAACTTGCTAGCTGCCAGTGTGAAGGATGACAACCAAGGTTGGATTTTCTTTTTGCACACGTAATACATTTTTTTTTTGTCACAAGTTGTATGGGTTTGTGGCATAATAATGTTATGCTTGTATGAGTGTTGTTCCAGTTCATGTCTTGTGTCTGTGTTACATATACACTTATTCACCAACTAACAGCTTCTCACACAGGTTTATTTCCATTAGCAATAACAATTGTGGATTCTGAAAACACTACAAACTAGTTGTGGTTCTTGCAACACCTCGCCAGTGTTATTAGCAACGACAGGACACGTACATTCTTGTCCGCTTGTCACATAGGCCTCATCAACTTAATACCCAAAATATTCCCAATAGCCCACCACGTGTTTTGCTTACAACATTTGCAATAGAATCTGCAGGACAAGATGAGGTATGTCAACAATTTGTACTGAGCTGGATTGCTAAGTAAATTCCAAGAATGCGCATATGCACCTACTGTAATAGGATTTAATGCTAGCTTCGAGAGATTCAAGAAGTCTGGGAGCAATGTGGCAATGTCTTTTCTGAAAGATTTACCCCCACAGCATTGGGCAAATGCTTATTTCAGGTACGCACACTGTGTTTACACATAACCAGTTAGAAATAGTAAAGTTGCTATAACATAACGGTTTTTTCTTGTAACAAACAAGATACGTGACATATGTAACAGTAGTGATCTGTGTAACAGGGGTGCACTACAGTGAATTAACGTTGCACCAATGGAACCCTTCTTCCCTATTGATAACAGTGGCCTATTCCATGCCATGGGAAGACCAAATAGTAGCATACACAATATGGCAAAATCAAAAGCTTAACCCTGTGTACATGCATCTAATAAACCAATTAACTCGCTAGTACTACCAGTGGCCAATTACATGCAAAATTATTACACACACCTATGAATCTATTAATCTAATTCTATGATAAACGTCGAATCTATTTTAAGCTTGTTGGGAAAAACTACTCACATTACATAATTTCACATTGCATATCGCAAAATTATGAGATGAACAAAACAAACCTTCAATCCCAGGAAAATAACATGCTGAATAAAATACAGATAAAATATAAAATGGTTAAAGGAAGCAAACCGAAGCCTGTGTGATATCACAGTCTCCTTAAAATAGATTCGCCGCCTCACCGTTGGGTGCTGGAGGTACGTCAGCGTCTACTTCCCAGGATACGACGGTTTTTACCAGCTACAACAGAAGCACCTTCTGATTAGATTAGCGAACGGACAACGGCAGCACTCTCTCTCAGGAAGAAAATTATAGGAGAAGTAGACTGACAGTGTATGGATGTCAATGAAAATTTCATATCTCTTTTCAAGGAATAGGGCCTCCTTTTATACACCATGGGGGAGAGGGGAGGAGCCTCTAGCCATCAAGGCTGGCAACTAATGCTAGCAAAACTGCCCAATCAATTTTGTAAAACTGATGAGCCTTAAATGTGTGAGTTATATACACATTTATAAGGAAATTTCTTATTCAACCATTTTTCTCCAACAACTACAAAATCATACATGCAGTATCCTTCAGATTTTGACCACTTGCTCAGTGAACCGTTTAACTCCTCGATTAGAGCATTGATCTCCTATTCCTGCCATAACAAGAAGTATACTTCAAAAGCAATGAAATGAAAGGAAATAAATATACTTCTTTTACCTAAAAGAGTAAAAAAATAAAAATAAAAAAGAGAAGAAAAATACCAAAGCCTGTAAAAAAAATCTGCAATCCCAAAAGCCCAAAAAGATATTACTACAATCCAGAAAAATCCAAGTATAACAATCATATATCTAATATCTTTACAAGCCATTAAGATATATTAAAACTTAAGTGACTAAAGAGACATGGAACACATTAGTCTTGCCCAAAAAATTTGCGTAAGAATGAGGCTTCAGCCCTCCTGCGATGCATTTCTCTCAAAACAATGTAGGAAGCATGTAGTGAGGTCAAAAATCATAGGAAAGAAAGAAGAAATTGGAAAAAAAAATATAACTAAAAAAATTCTTCACTATAATGTATTTTCTTGCAGGAAAATTCTGCATAAGAATGAGACTACTATCCTGCGTCGTGAGCTCTTCTACTATGATATCAGTTTCACTGCAAAGTCAATCAAGTCTAAATCCAAGTTTCCGATCCTTATCTGCACAACCAAATCAACATTGTACCTATGTTAAGCAGATTATTAGAGATGGCTAATTGAAAACCCTAGGAGAAGATTCACGATTGCAAACCCTAGGAGAAGAATCGATGGGAAGGAAGAGAATACGAAACTAAGATTGTAGACGGCAGTGCTCACCTTAGTAGACGATGGTGCTCACTCTCGCTGGTGCAGACGGTAGTGACGGTGGAGCTTCGAAATCGAGAGAGACAGAACTTCGAAATTGAGAGAGAACTTCGAAATCAAAATCGAAATTGCTCTGAAATGAATCTCTCGCCCCCTTTCTGAGATAAATTGAAATCACTAAGGCGACGAGAGAGAGGGCAGTGAGGGAGAAGGTGTGGCGGCGGCAGTGGTGGTTGCTGGTGGCGGTACCAAAGACGACGACGTAGGCGAAAGAGATAAAGAGAGAGGAGAGAGAGAGAGAGTGAGAGGGAGTGCGGGCCTCGTTTGGCAAATGGCTTTTGTAGTTAAAAAGTTATTCAAAAAATCAAAAAGTCAATAATTCATACAAAAAAATCAAAGATTCTCTTTTCTCTCTACTTTTTGCACATTTTTTCGTAAAAAGCCAAAAACTCATCCCTAACGTACTAGTTTTTTTTAGCTCATATTTTAGCCAAATAGCCAAAAAGTTATTAAATTAACATGTTCCCAAACGAGGCCTAGGTATTGGGGAAATCGTGAGAAAAAAAGGGGGGAATTGAGATAAAATTGCGGGAAAACGAAAAGAGTTTTTTTTTTCGTTAATTTTTTTTTTGTAGTTAATGAATTTATTTATTTTTTATTTTTTATTTTTTTTAGTTAATGATTTTTTTTATTTTGCATTTTTTTTAGTTAATGAATTTTTTTTTTCATTTTTCATTTTTTTTTAGATTTTTCATTTTTCATTAAAAATTTCTTTGTTTCATTTTTATTTTAATGAAAAAAAAAGTTTTTTTATTTGGTAGAAGTAAGGGTAATATTTTAATGAAAAAATATTTTCTATTAAAATAAAGTAAATTTTTTATGGTCAATGATTTTTTTTTTTTTTTTTGCTGCCCATTTTTTTGGTAACTATAAATCAGGAACTAATTTTTTGTGGTAAAGAAGAGGGAGTGGCAATAGTGGTGAAGGTGGTGGTGGCGGCGGCGAAGGAGATTAGTGGTGAAGTTGTGGTTGTGGTAGAGGAGATGGAGTGGTGGTGGTGAATGAGAGGTAATGGTAGTAGTAGTGGTAGTAGTAGTGGTGGTGGTGGATAAGAGGTGATAATGGTGGTGGTAGTGATGACGAAGGAGATTAGTGGTGAAGTTGTGGTAGTCATAGAGGAGATAGAGTAGTAGTGGTGGAGGAGAGGTAATAGTAGTAGTAGTGGTGGTAGTGGAGTGATGGCGATGGTGGTGGTAATGATAGTCGTAAAGGTGGAGTGGCAACAGTGGTAGTAGTGGTGGTAGTGGAATAGCATTTGCAGTAGTGGTGAAGATGGTAGAGGAGATGGGTGGTGTGATAGAGATGAGTTAGAGATAGATAGAGAAGAGAGAGACAGAGACAGAGACATAGACAGCAACAGAGACAAAGTGATAAGTGAGAGAGAGACAAAGTAGTCACTAAAAGTGCATTTTCTTGTAGTGTCTTAATAAATCAAGAGGGAGCTTGGTAAATAGAGAAGAGGAGAGGGGAAGAATGAGCAAGGCGAACACAATGAGGGAGAGAGAGACAGACAGACAAATAGATAGACAAACAGAGAGAGAAAGAGAGAGACAAGAGTGATGAGTGAGAGACAGAGAGAGAGAGAGAAAGAGAAACAGAAACAGAAAAAGAAAGAGAAACAAGAGATGATCGAGAGATAGACAAAAGGAGAGAGAAAGATTGCAAAAAGAGATGAATGATAGAGAGACATAGAGAGAGAGAGAGAGAGAGAAAGAGAAATGAGTGAGAGAGACAGAGAGATAGAGATAAAAAAATAAGAGAGATAGAGAGAAGAGAGATGAGCGAGAGAGAGAGATAGAAAGAAGAGAGATAAGCGAGAAAGACAGAGAGAGAAGACAGATATGAGAGATAAAGAAAAGAGAGATAAACGAAGAGAGAGACAGATAGACAGAGAGAGAAGAGAGAAAAGTGATGAGTGAGAAAGAGAAAGAGAAGAGAGAGAGGAAGATGAAAAAATGGGTGAAAAGAGATAGAAATGAGAGAGAGAGAGACAGAAAAGAGATAAACGAGAGAGACGGAGAGAAAAGGGAGATAAGAGAGATAGAGATAAGAGAGATGGACGTGAGACACAGAGATAGAGAGAGAGAGACAGACAGACAGACAGAATGACAGACCAACAGAGAAGAGTAATGAGTGAGAGAGAGAAAGAGAAGAGAGACAGAGACACAGAGAGAAAGAGACAGACAGACAGACAGAGAAGAGTGATGAGTGAGAGAGAGAATGAGAAGAGAGATAGAGACACATAGAGAAAGAGAGAGAAAGACTGATAGAGAAGAGCGATGAGTGAGAGAGAGAAAGAGAAGAGAGACAGAGACAGAGAGATAGGAAGATGAAAAAAAGGTGAAAAGAGAAATGTTCAAAAGAGTAAGACGACGTCGTTTTTATTTTTTATTTTTTTTTGTGACAGAAAAATATCGTTGCATTTATTTGAACCATTTTGTGACTATATATATATGAAGTCGTCTCAAAGCCACAATATATATATATATATATATATTATTTTTATTTTGTTATTTTCATTTTTGCAAATTAAAATAACAAAAAGGCAAAAAACTTCTTTTTTTTTTTGCGACTGCAGCTGGTGCCGTCGCAAAAACTCTATTTTTTTGCGACAGCAATCTCTGCCATTGTAAATACTCTATTTTTTTTAGCGACAGTAATTTCTGCCGTCGCAAATAATCTCATTTTTCGTGACAGTATGTTATGCTGTTGCAAATACTCTATTTTTTGCGACGGCAAGTTGTGCCGTCTCAAAAAGTCACATTTTTTGCGACGGCAAGTGTGTCGTCGCAAAAAGTTATGTCTTTTATGCCCCCTTTTCTTGTAGTATTTGAGGCTAATTTCAGATATTCTGTGCCCGATGGGCTTGACTAGAATGCAGAAGCTATCCCTCTTTGGTCGGACCCTGTCCAGTATTGCAGCCATCTGGTATGCCAAACTGGAGGATTCAGTGAAGAGGAATTGAGAGGCGATGGCTGAGGCCTACATTGCCCAATATTTGTACAATACTCAAATCGAGGTCACAACTCGTGATCTTGAGGCAACTAGGTAAAAGCCGAATGAGGGCTTCTCTGACTTTGTCACCCGGTGGAGGGATAAGGCCTCTATGATGACCACCAGGCCAATTGAAAAAGACCAAATAAGGATGGTCTTATGGAATCTGCAACCGAAGCTGCTGCAGAAGATGATTGTCTTACCCCTCCCCACCTTTGCGGATCTTCATGAGATTGGGGTACAGATAGAAGATGCTATGAAACAGGGTCTGATTGACCAGGAGAAAGAGCAGCTCAAGAGGGCTTTACCCGCAGTTTGAATGCAACTACGAGTAGTAATGCAGCTGCGAGGACCTCTTACGTCAGAATGGTCACCACTACACCAAAAATAGCCACACCCTTTACTGGTTTATCTGGAGCCATCTCACAAACTGCAAAGTACCCACCCCGGGGCCAGAGGGTTTTCTCCCCACTTTAAATGTCTCTGTCTGTGGCCTTGAAGGTCCTGATTAGAAAAGGGCATCTGAAGCCCCAAGAACCACGTCCATTGCCAAATCCCCTCCCTCTTACACACAACCCAGCCAAGTATTGTGCCTTCCATCAACAGCATAGGCATGATACCGATTTGTGCTTTAGGCTTCATCATGAGATTCAAGATCTCATCGACAATAAAGTGATAGCGCCTCCTGAGAAGCCAAATGTCAATACAAACCCCCTTCCACCACATAACCAACCTCCTTCTCCACCCAGGCAAGTGAACCTGATCCAAACAATGGTCGTTCCGTACGACCCCAGCATATACATCACTCCCTCCCACCTGTCTATGCGGGCGTTGTTCATCCCAGAATGCACAGACTTATGCACGATGAGCACGTCAATATCCCAACCTGAACCCATGGTGGTGGCTGTGATAGAAGAGGGAACGCCTGAGGACTCTGCAATCTTAATTGAGGAGGCATACAACCCTTGCCGCTTTATTGCGCCAGCTGATTAGGCCAAGCCGAGGGTAGAATTGCTGGGAAAAAAAGAGGTGAATGTAGTTCGGGAAGATGGGCCAGGTCAGGGGCTGGATGATTTAGCAGAGCTTGAGGAAGACATTGTTAATCTACAGTTCTTTGATGAGCAGGATCCGGGAGATGTGAGCGTCAATTGGTTTGACCTGAATAGATCAACAAACAATACAGGGTGGCTTAGTGATGAGCTAGACGTTGATGAGGGGTCTCAGCCGAAACAAGGACAGTCAGAAACAGGAACTTCTGTAATGGCTGGAACGATCGATGACAAAGAGAAGTTGCCGGAGAGTACTGGTACGAAGAATTTTGCTCGGGAATTTAGCAGCATTTGTACAGCTAACACAGAACAAGAGGCTGCGTGGAAGTGGTTTGAACAAGAGAGGATCGAGACTGATCAGAGGGCTAGAAGAGTTAAGGCCCTTGCGGGGACAGATTGTGTTGTGAACACGGAAACAACGACAGCGGAACCGGACAGTTGTCTGTCGGTTGACGAGGAAATATAGTAGGAAGACGATGATTTGCGTCTGGCCCATACTGATGAGGACTGGGGATAGAATCTCCTAGATGATACGTGGTACACCGAAGAAGTCAACCACATGACCCGGAGTGGGTGGTATTTTAAACCCCCACACCTGGACCAGTTAGAGGCATCGGGGAAAGACAAGGAAGCTGAGAAACAGAAAGACAAACTATTAGAGGAGGACGCTGTACTGAAGCAGCTGAAAAAGATTCAAGTAGACATCTCCATCTGAGGACTGCTCATGGCCTCGCGAGTGTATAGACAAGCTGTCCTATCAACAATGGACAAGGCTAAGCTTTCTATTGACACAACCCCCGAACAGTTGGTGGGACTAGTGTTCCCGGGTGGCGCTTCACTGACTTTGACCTTCACAGATAAAGAATTACCACCTGAGGACTCCGAGCATAATAAGCCGTTATACATCTCTGTGGAGTGTAAAGATAAGTGGATACCAGTTGTCTTAGTTGATACGGGATCTGCTATAAATGTGTGTCCATCGCGTACGACCTATGCTATTGGGTTGAAGCCTGCAAATTTCGTACCAACAGCCCAAGTGATTCGGGCTTATGACAATACCAACCGAGAAGTGATGGGGACAGTGCGGGTTAGAACTCAGGTTGGCCCGACCCAATAGGACATCGAGTTTCATGTTTTGGATGTTC